TGAGACTCATCCTTGAGATCAAGCATTCATCTTCACATACTGTTACTCCTAGCAGTGTTAAGAACATACGAAGAGCAACTACTACATTTGGAAATGTTGATTTCACCAAGTGATTCTGTTTCATATACTTAAGCATTTGTTGCAGTTTTCTCACACTTAATATGTGATATGAAATCCAGAAAGTTCACTAATTTATCAACACTGTCTGCATCAAAATCTTTTATCAGCACTACTAAGGTAAGCTCTACAGCTGCTAGAAATGGCTCCTGCTCTCCAAGTTGCCGCTTACCTCATCGTCCCTCCTGGATATATGACTTGTATCTCCAGCTCCGCCACTCTTACTGTCACTCACCGCCCAGCCTCAGAGTAGAGAGGTGCATTCAGGAGGTAAAAGCGTCAATCATATCCAGGGCCCTTCAAATCTCAGGGCCCTAAAACATAGTTTACCTGGTTCATTGATTAATCCGACCCTGATCCTGATCACCTAAGCCTCAGAGTGTGTGTTTGGTTTCTGCTGGAGTTTAACCAGCTAAAACCGTGCAGCTTGCTATTACGAACACTGACTGAGAAGCTGACCGCTGTTTGTCCATCTATGACCACCAACGGTGTAAACTGTAACAAAATTGTCTCTCGATTGTCAGCCCTCTCCTTTGGATTTAGGTTGTCTTACTGCCTCAAGCTAAACCAGACAGAAAGGATTCCTTTGTCACATGCTTGAAGCCATTCATCATGCTTCATGTTACTCTGTTCAGCATCTGTTCATTACATACAACCACAACAGCAAAATACATCAGCATCTGTGAAAGAGGACGGCCAACCAGGTAATAAGCCACAAAGCTATTGTTTTCTTTATGCTGCAAAATTACCCAATTTCTTCTTCCTCGGACATGATCCCCGCATTAAGGGGTCAAGTACCTCAATTTATTTCTACAACACGCTGTGCCTCTGAAATGCTGCTTTGCATTTGTCAATCTACTATTGCTAGTTTTATTTCCCCCACCAAAAAAAAAGCAACAATTCTCCTGACCCACTACCATTCTACAGCTCTGGAACTTGGTGACACAAGCTACATCCTGGTCCAATTTATCTCGGATAGTAATTGCAGCTGTTTAGCCTGACAAAGTACTCCTAATTTACAACGTGGATTAACAATCAAATGCTTTGCTCCATTGCTTTGAAGGCTTCCCCCCAGTTTAAACCTGCGGTTGACAGCTAAAGGCGACGCCACGGTTTTGCTTTGAACTAGTCGTCTAATTTTCAAAATCGATAGCAGCCCAAATTGCTCTTTCTTTCTATCTATCTGTCAAAAAAAAGTAAAATCACAAGTGTTTGCCTCAATCAAGCCAGCATAGCATATTAACTGCTGCAACTGTGGGGAGGCACAAATGCACAGAACTCCCCTCAGATTGACTTGAGCCATGAATCAATAAGAAAAGCACTAGCAGATGGCAAACAGTATTTGTGTCCGTCTTAATCAAGTTTCTGCTCAGTTTAAAGATGCCTTGGTCAGAGGTTAGCCTCCATAAGAATGACTGAGCTGCAGACAAATCCACTGAATATCATGTAAATTATTCAGGAGGTTAAGATGTGAAAACTGTTACAGCCTGTTTGTTCCTGAGTGCTGCTTCTTACTTTTAGTGAAGCCAGATAGACAGCCCTAAACTTTATCTCTGACCTGCGGCCAATCGTTTATTTCCAGGGAAGATGGCTGGAAAGATACAGTACCGCATTGGACAGGGCTCCGCTACCGGAAATGTTAGTTGAACTTTAAAGAGTGTTGAAAATTTTTATCTCTGTGGTTGTGGATGTTTCATATCACTTGATGGCCACAATCTTGCTAGCTAACAGCCACAATAATATAAACCATCTTAAGAAATGATGCAGTTGTACATGGCATTACTACAGTTATCAGGAACATATCTGCAACAATCTTTTTTAAACTTTTTTTTCCCCTCATTTTTTTCTTCTCCTTATTGTTTCCAGTAGGGCAGTGGTGGCCATGCTTTTTGGCTGGCTAACAAAATACATGTTTGCTGAATGAATATGTCTTCATTTATGCATTAATGAAGAAATATTCAATCAAGAAACATTTATTTTGTTGGCCAACCAAAGAGGTTGACCACCACTGCACTAGAGGCACAGTTGCATAGGCAACAAGGGCATTTCAGCACCACATCCTAATGCTTATCTTGCAGGGTTCCGGATATACCTACACCACCAAATTTCCCTTGAATCAATGCAGACCTCCCTGGTTTTCCAAACATGCCTCCTTGGAGCAACCTAAACTCAAAGGAGAGTCTGCTTACCTGCGGAGCTGTATAATACAGCCACAGACAATCTTGGTGGGCAATCTGGGAGAGTGCTGATGGCTGAAGATTCATGGCGCAGTTTTATTGGCATCAAATCTTGGGCTAACCCCAACAAGTGATGGATCTTATCCAGCCTTAGTAGAGAAGCAAAGTATCTCCTGCAGGTGTAGGAAAGGAGATTATCTGACCCAACAAAATTATTAGTTAATACAGAATAGTGGTGAAGGTGCTCTCCATTCACCATGTAGGCAGCAGAACAAGACTGGGCTGCAAAGAGCAATTTCAGGATAGACATCAGGGAGTATTTCTTTACACAGAGGGTTATTAATGACTGGAACTGGGTACTAGAAAAATAGATGAGGACAGGATGTAAAGCTCATATAAGAAATAACTTAATGCTGTAACGAGAAGACAGTAGGGTAATCTGAAAGGGTGTGGACTGAATAGGCAGATACATACTCAAGCACATACACACATACACACTCATTTACATACTCATATATACACGCAAACACCCATCCAAATCATTGCACGGAGCTGGCCGAAGTTTGAATTTACACCTTGAAAACTACCACTTGTATTAAAAAAAATCTGATTTATGATAGACATTAAACGTTATATCTTGAGTCCTGACATCGACAGCTCAGAGTTTAGAACCATATGGTCTCTGATGTCAGAGGATAACCTCACCCATTGGGGACCCAGTGTGGTTTTAAAGGGAGGCCTTTCAGTCACGTTTCTAGTTTTCCCAAAATGCACAAGACACATATTTGCTGCTCAAATTGAAACAAAATGGTTGATCTTACATTCTTGAAATTCTGTCAAAAATAATTCAAGAATGATGGTGGTCATCAAGGACAGGAGCAAAACCATGTGTGTTTTGATGTACATGTGATGTGATTGAAGTGTGTGATTTCAGGTGTTAGAGCAATCGGCAGGAGTATTTTGTTAGTCACTCTGCGTTGCCAGCTGGAGAATGGAACCTAAAGTATTGTTTCATTTAACAATACTGAAATACAGTGGAAACTGATATGAGATGGATAGTGCTGCTTTAATTGGAATAAGTGCCCAGCCAGCAGAGAAGTGTAGTTAGAGTGTTGGGTAGGAGGTGGAATGGGGTGGATTATTCCAATGGGCCACTTTTTTACGCTCACTTTTCTATGTAACAATGTCTGTCTGCTTGAGTTATGGATATGATATATTTACTGTATTTGATACTGCACACATACAGGTGGTTATAGAGGAAATGCTCAGTTATAGCTTGTTGACACTTTCCATGTGAAAAATGTTTACAATACAATACAAAATTACATTTGTATAGTGCCTTTCACTTTGGGAGGATGTTCCAACATGGTTTACTTTCTACACAGCTAATGTACTATCAGCAGTTCTGTGTTATGTTCATTCCAATGTTGCCCTTCCCTTCCTGAAGGCTCTGGTGCGACCAGGAGTACTTTTCTAAAGATGAGGCAGTCCTCAATACAACAGCAAGTGGTACATTTAATTACGAAGTCATCTGGGGATGAAAATCTTGTGTTGCATTATACAACAAAGCAGTTCAAGTTCTGCTTTGATACAGTGCAGGAGAACTATTCATCCTGGGTCTAGTTTCACTCTATTTATACAGCAGTTTAGAGCATCTGGATTTTAACAAGTTCCATTATAAATTATATTTAACAGAATAAATATTCTATTGTATATAATAAAAATTATATTGCATAAAATATTCTATTGTATAAAAATATTGTATCTATAATAATAATATAGATTGGCTCCTGATTGGTTCGCGCCAGTGCCTCCGTACCTCAGGTGCTAGCAGCATCAGCCTCCACAGCTGTACGCCCATCCCACGGTCCCTTCACCTCGCTTCCTCTCGTGCCTCCTTCAAGGCCGGTCTCAAGACCCTTTTCTTCGATCGTGCCTTCGGTCGCCCTCCCACCTCTCTGCCTTCCCTCACCCCTACTCCATCCCTCCCCCTTGCTCGGGTCCCGACACCTGACTGTTCAGCGCTTTGGGACGTCCTCCCGACGTGAAAGGCGCTCTATAAATATAATTTTGTTGTTGTAATAATAATAATAATAATCCTTGCATTTGTCTAAAAGAATTTAACAAATTGTTTAATTTGGTTATATCTTTGAAGAATGTTTTCTGCTTCTCGTACAAAGAAGTATACAAAACATTGGTTTCAAAATTTAGGCTGTATTTAAGAATTTACCAAATTTTGGACCTTCTAAAATGCTACATAAATAGAACAAATCTAGAGCCAGGTGGAATTTCTCCTTATGCATTAGCTAAGCCTGCAACATGCAGTCTAGTCTTGGTTTGCTCACCCACCTGTAGTTCTGGGATCTTTAGAATTATTTTCAGTGAGTGTTTCCAGCTCCTTTGACCAATTTAGGTGGGAGGTGGAAAACAAATGTAATTTAATTGAAATGAATTTTTATTCTCTCCTCTATCCAAAACACTAATGATAAAACCATGTGATTGATTTCATAAGAAATAATAGAACAAGGGAAAGCCAATCAATGTATCAAACTTTCTCAAGATGTAAACTTCTGCATAGATATACTTCTGATCAAACGTATCGTGGTATCCAAATGGTTTGACATAGCAAGCTTACCAATGTATCAAAGAATTAATCTCCTATCATATTCTCTCACTTAATTGGTATATTTTGTTATTTTTCTGTAGGAACTGTGAAGGGCGGAATATCCGATACAGGACATGCAGCAGTGTGGTAAGCTTTGAAAGCCCTCTCCTGTTTTACCTCACTGTGAACTGGGTTGGATTTGAAAGTACCTTGACCAGCACTCCACTGACATACAGGACCTTTAGTTTCTGCTATGCACACGGGCCAAAGGGCTATTGTCAATCATGACTCTCAAGGGGTTTAAACAAGGGAGATGGACAGGCACTTCTGAAGACTCTATGGTACCTGACCATAATCAAAATAAGCAGTAGTCAGTAATACCTCACACCAGTCGAAGTCTGCTTGTTTTATTTAAGAGGTTTCTCAAAAAAACTCTAAAGTCGAAGTATACGGTATGTGATGTGATATTTAATATCTTTCGACCACTGTATTTCTCTCCAAAGTTAAAAACATTAACTTATGTCCGTGTTTAATATTGAGGTGTAATGTTGAGGTAATGAACTTTACACAACAGCAACTTGCATTTATATAACAACCTTCAGATACAATAATGATAAGTTACGTCAACTTTACAGCGACAGGATCGGACACTGAGTGAGAGGATTGGGGGTTTTGGGTGGATTGAGGGTTTTAAAAATGATTCATTCGTGGTTATTTCATTAAACACTTCCTTTTTCAATTATTTTTGACCAAACCAACTAAATTGAGTGCCATTTTTTTGCAAATACAAATATATCGGGTAAATATAAAATATCACACACTAAATAAAATAGGAGTAAAAATTAGGGTCTTATCAAGGTTGAAAATAGCATTCTACTTCTCGAGATATCAGCCTGGTATGCCAGCCTTATAGCAATCTTGCATCTGAGTCTGAAGGTATTAGGTTCAAGTCCCAAGTTGGGACTTTGAACTTACGCAGTCTAGGCTGACACTCTAGTGCAGTGCTGCGAGCATGTTGCATTGTCGGAGGTGCCGTCTTTTGAATAAGACATTGAACTGTCATTACCTGCCTGTTCAAATGGACGTTAAAGATCTCATGGCACTATTCAAATAGAGAAAGTAGTTACTCCCCCTGTCCTGGCCAACAAACTCCAGATAAAATTAATCATTCACCTGTTCACTTCATGGATGTTTGTAGGAATTGCTGTATACAAAGGGGTGCTGAGTTCACCTACCAACACTACAATACTACAATCACTGTATTTCCAATGAAGCGCTTTGAGATGTCCTCCAGATGTGAAAGGCGTTATACCAAATGCGAGGACTATTATTTTGTCCCAGTGATAACTGCCATGGGGGAACACTTTGGAAGAACCCAACTTTGTGTTGATGTTTGTGCCACCAAAAAAAAGTTCCTGGAGTCATTAAGTTGCCCGGCACTGATTTTGTATCTGCCATCACTCATGTTCCAGCATTTCAATGGTGGTTTGGGGAGCACAAGCTTAACTCAACAAAAACTGAGCTCAATATTCCTCTTCTCACCCACTTTCCACAGGTATTGTTTCTCCGACTAAATATTCCAATTCAATAAATGAGCTTTTCAATTTAATATTTGTTTAATATCTTAAGCGGATCCTAAATGGTTTCAGTATTTACTGCGTGCAAATTGGTTTGTTGTGGGAACATCCGTATATAGGTTGCAATGTTGCTTGAATCTTTTTGTGTGTTCTCTAACCTTTATCCTGAACTGATACTTGCGTAATGACGTATGTAAGACAGCTGGGCCTGGGATTGAATCTCCACCAGATGTGTAAGGTTTGATCCCTGCTAATGTTTATTTAATTGTGCAGCGCAAAAGCAGTGTTCACTTACATGCCAATGCAAAGGACAATCTCTACCCATTAATAACATTGCACCACTGTTATTTTTTTTGTCTAAATAAATAACTGCTAATGAAGTGTCAAATAGTATGCTAGTCAGCTGGTGGTAAACGGGACAGCACAGAACAGGGCCCTAGATTTTACCTTTTAATATCCATGGCGACTGTTTTATTGCTCTGGTTTATGGTTATTTCCACCAATGAGGTGTTGGAATTTTGGAACTGAGTACTTTTCAATGTGGGAGCAACCTGCTGTGAACCCCCCCACCTTTAATGCCTTGTTGTCCTGATGTTAAATCAATGTGCAATGATCTGTTCAGAGAAATTCTGAGGTCTGCAGTCTCTTTAATTCATCAGTTTAGCCTTCTTTTCCATAGTTAGTCGTTTGGCGGATCGCTTTTCTGGGGGTAGTAATCCCTCATAAAAATAGGGTAACTCAATCCATGGCTGTTTGTGGGACGCTGCTGTGTGTAATTGGCTGTCGCGTTTCATGCACAAAATATACAGTCAATTCATTTTACAGTATATTCTGTGAAGTGCTTTGAGACGGTTCAGCAACGTGATAAGTCGCTATATCAGATGCAAGGATTATTATTATTATTATTTTATTTGAATTCTTTTCTTATGTCAGCCTTTGTAAATTCTTGTTTTTTCCTGTTTCATATGAGATTGAGGACCCTATGGTCATTGCTAATTCTGCATTTCGGATCCAACTAAGAGCTGGGGATGCCACCCCTTCTGGGTGCCATACTTTCCGAACATGTTAAAATTTCACAGTGAAGGTCAATTTCAGCCCATGCCAGTAAGTATATTCACATCCCTGACCCCTCTCTGAGTTCTTACTGCGTGATTGGCAGGATTCCTGGGGTGACGAGTGGAGGTCAACAGAGCGGGTACACAAACTGCACATTCCTGAAACTGATTTCTACTGTGAAAGCACAAATCTCTCCAAACAGAGGGTGCCAGGAAGTGAATGCTTTTCCAGGTAAAGCGCCTTTGGCTCCGACCTTTGCACTAGGGATCAATAATTTAGCGACGAGTGAGCTGTGCTGCAATTTTAAGCATATGTTTCATTATTTTGAAATGACCTTGAATAACACTTATCTTTTCCCAGGTTATGTAAGATAGCTTCAATGCAGAGTATGGATAGGTGGTCTGACTTATAACTTATAATATTACTTCTCGAGATGAGAGACATTGACAATAGTTAGGGGAAAATGTTTTGTTTTGTTAACCAGTTGCAGAGTCGAGCACTTTCACATGGTCAGACGCAGAAAAATAACTAATTTTCAATAATTCCAACAGTAGGATTGAGTTTCCAACATTTCCATTGACCTAGCAGCAGTGCACCTCAAGTTCAGAGACCATCCAAAAGAACAAGAACAGCATCATCACCGACCCCACCACCTCCAAGTTCCCTCCAAGTCACTTACCTTCCTGACTTTGACCTATAAGGCCACTTCATTAACATCACTGGGTCAAAATTCTGGAACTCTTTACTGCACAACACAATGGGAGCACCCTCGCTACAAGCATTGCATGGATTTAAAGAAAGGACCCACCAAAACATTCTTAGGACAACCAGGGATAAATACTGGCATTGCCAGTGGCTGGTTGAGTTACATCAATTGGCAAAGGCAGAGGTCTGCAGTAGCTTCATATCTCTTGTCCATTTGAATTATTTGCACTGAGATTTGTGGAGGTGGACTGCATTCAAGTCGGAGATGGATCCCGAGATCTTGTCAGTCTCTGCGTGCAGTGTGGCCAAGATATTATGGATATTCTGCTGGTTTTCATAACTCTTGTGTTAAAGATTGAGTCCACTACCACACTTACCTCTGCTTGGCATCTTAAATCATTCACCCTGTATGCATGCTCCCTTTCCATGGTGAATCACTCATCTCTGCACCTTAGTTGGCACAGTATCTGTGTGAGAGCTTTATTGCTCTGTAGTCCAGATGCAGGACAGATGATCTCTGCATTCTCTATATGAAGAAAGGAATAGGCATATTTTCTAATGGGTACTATGGAGCAATACGTAGGCAAACCTTTGGAGGTTTGGCTTACATCCTGTGGGCTCAGTTCCAAGTCATCTTGTGGTAAACTGCATCACGTAGAAAGGAAGGCCGTGTCCAAAACTGGATTCCTAAATAATGACTGAGTTGCTGATCGGAAATTCTTCTGAGACCAGAAGTACATCAGCTGATTTGTGGAGTCCTGTAGCTCAGTGGTTAGAGCACTCGCTTTGCAAGCGAGACACCTAGGTTCAATTCCAGGCAGGGCGAAACCTTGGGCAGGTTTCCTTACTCCACACGCCTAATAATAATCCCTCCAAAACCCAAAACAATAATAAATTGGTCATTTTCAATCTACGACTGTTTGTGGGACATTGCTGTGCGCAATTGGCTGCCGCATTCGCCCACAAATATACAGTCAATTCACTTTACAGTATATTCTGTGAAGCGCTTTGGGACGTCCTCCCGACGTGAAAAGCGCTATATCAAATGCAAGGATTATTATTATCAATAGAATATCTGTTCAGGAATCAAAGTGTGTTGGAGCGCTACTCAGCATTGACTGGAAAGATGGGATTCGCGCTTGAATTGAACATCACTTGCCTTCTGCTCTACTACCTCTATTCTAGTGGAATGTTGATGAAATGAGTGCATGACTGAGTTGGTGAAATGTACTGTGGGGCAGTGTTGATGGAATGCAGTGCACGGCAATATTGATGGGATGCGCTGCATGGAAGTGTTGAGGAAATAAGTGCATAGCCGTGTGGATGGAATAAGTGGACAGTAGTTCTCATTGTATGAGTGGACAGCAATGTGGATGGAATGAATGTATGGCAGTGTTAACAGAATGAGTGGATGGCAGTGTTGATGGAATGGGTTGTTTTGCAGTGATTCTGAACCAAGGATCTGAACTTTCCAATGAGCACATCTAGATTGGGGAACGTTTTGTTTCTTGAAGGGCGTCAAGATGCTTGGTTCCTGTTTGTTTAAAGTGTTAAATTGTGCTGTTTGCAGCTGAGTCCGATTGGATCAACATCAGGAAGCACGGGTATCACAGTGATGCTCATAGGAAACTATTGTATTCCCGAGTGTCCAGATATTGCTGGCCTCGCACAAATTAATAAAATTCTCTTGAAGACCTTAATAGATGCCACCTGGAAATTCACCCCAGGATGTCTTACCACCAGCCTGAAAAGAGCACCCCCTCTTTCACTTGTGTGACATTTCAATTTCCTTCACCTGCTTTCACTAAA